CATATATAGAAACTGTCGGGTTTGAATTGAATGGTCAACCCAACCCAATCCAACCAAAATGTTTTGAGTTGGATCTGGTTGGGTTGTCGATTTGTGTTTTTTTTTTTCAATTTTTAATTATCACGGCGCCGACGGGGAGTTAGGATTAAAACTTAATGGACGATTGAGATTAAGATACAAAATTGAAGAAGATAATATTAAAACCTTAAATGACGGGCTAGAATTAACACTAAATGGACAGTTGACATTAAAGATAAAGATACTATTATATATATAATTAAGAAAAATACACATATATGCATAAATTCGAGTTGGGTTGGGTTCACCCGATTCACTCGATTTTTTAAAGGTTAAACCGAGACCCGACCCAATCCGATCAGGTTGGGAAAATCAAAGCCTAACCTAACTCAACTCTTACGGTGTGGGTTGGGTTCATCGGGTTCATCAAGTTGTCAAGTTCAAGGAGGCTGAGAGTACGGCCCTAAACTCTCTTGGACAGAAGTCTACTAGGGCGTCTAGTTTTAAGACTGCTCTGGAGGTGCTGCAATCTCATCATGCTGCCCTGATTAGCTGACTAGAGGTTGCAGAGGGTTCGCTTGGTCAAGCCCGGGAGGAATTGCTATAGGCCAGCGCGAGGCTAGAGGATCCAAAGTTTATGGAGTCCCAATTTCACGGTTCGACTTTTTCTTAGTCATTGGAAAGAGAGATCCAGTAGGAAAGGTCAACTTTGTGCTAGAGCGGGTGCAAGGTAGGTGTCCCGACGAGGATCTTCAGCTTGTCATTGACGCCTTTGAGTGCCTCTAGGCTACTCCGACCAACCGCGCATTCGATGAGCACCTTCAAAGTCTCATTTCCAAGGGCCTTCCTTTCCATGAAGTTATAGACCAAACAACTACTCAGTTCGTTACTTCTCCCGCTTGAATTCTCTGCTTTTTTGTATGGAGGAGGGGGGCCTTGCCTTTATGTGCTTCCCCCTTCCAACTATAATTTGTTTTTACTATAATGAAGCATACTTCTCAATGAAAGATCTTCTTGTGTTTGTCTCTATTGTTGACGGCTAGTTTTACTTCCCCTTGAGTTCCGTCCAATGGCTTCTCCATCTTGCTCCCGATGAGGAGTTGATTCTATTACTTGATAAGTTTGATGAGGGGCAAGGATAGTTGTTTGCTAAGGGCTGACGATCTTGCTTTGTGAAGCCTT